TTGTACGAAAAAAACGTCCATCCAATAAAAGACAACTTATTGAAGCTATAATTGATTCTTGGCACCATGTGGTTACGAAAGATAAACTCCAAACACTCGTTCACTCGATGAAAAGACGCTTTGAAGCTGTCTTAAAAAATAAGGGGTACCCTACTAAGTATTAATTGTGTAAGTATCACTTTAAAAAAATGCAAATCTAAGATAGATCTTACTATTAGTTGCATAACTTTTTTTGTAATACTGAAATTGTAATACTGTACTTATTATTAAATTTTACATTAAATTACCTTCAATTTGATATATAAACGTTTGTATTTAAGTAAAAATTAATATATTCTACAAGCACACAAAGTTGAAAAACATGAAACTTTCAAAATGTGTCCACACTTTTGGCCACCACTATATATATAGATATATTTGCTTCGCTATTCTAGTTGTCTTTTAATGTCAAATAAAATACTGAGTATTGAAATAACTTCAGAATTCTTGATAAAGTAAACTTCTTCTCTTTAATATTTTTTACACTTCAAATATATAAACTTAAGAGTAGTAGTGCTATAAACATATATAATTTTTTCATGTTTCTAGATTATCAAATCAGAAACTGACAATATTAGAGTTAATTTAAACTGTTTTTTATTTTCTATTCTCTTGTAGCTTATATACAGGACTTTTTCTTTTCATCCATTCCTAAACCTCTCTAGAATCTTCATTTTGAATTGAGTTGCTAAAAAATTAAAATGCATATTAACTCTGATATAGCATTAAAAATATCTGTTTTTTAACTTGCAATTCGTAGTCCTATGTAAAAATAAAAATATTTTTCTCCTTGAAAATTTTTAAAAAAAATGTCTGCAAATTAAAATTATTTCATAACTTTACAAGATTTTTTTTGTGCTTTTGGACTTGCAGCTGTTTTGTGCTATTGATTAAATAGCTTGTATCTCCCTTGGCCGAATTTCCTATTTAAATATTAAGCAACTGCGTTTGCACAACATGTTTTCTAGTTATTGAGAAATAATTTTTATGTTTTTCTGCGATTATTTTTGTAATATCAAGATTTCTATGGTTCATATTCTTTAAATTTGATGAATTATAAGCATAAAAAAGTTATATTAAATTTTTTAGCTTATAAAATTCCTTAATTTGATGACCCATGACATACCTCACTTTTCATGGGTGTTATTCCCAGTAAAAACTCATCTGAGAAAGGAATCCAGTTTTTGTTAGCTTTTAAAAAGAATACTTGAAGTTACTGCGATTTTATCCAAATTCACTCAATTGTACATTCCTTTTCTTTTGTAATTCTTCTGTAATCTTCTGCATGTTTGTAATTCAGAATAAAAAATATATATATATATTTCCTGAAAGCAAATAATTTGAAGATTTTTGTCCTTGTAGGAGCTAATGATCAATCTTCAAAAAGCTGTAAAAAGAGGTAAACAACTCACTGACGATCAAATAAAACTAGGCAATAAATTACTAGTCTATATTAGGTAAATGATTTTTTTTTTGCTTAATAGTTAAAACCTTAAACATTTTACATCAATTATTATCAATTATTACATCAATTATTTACAAAATATAGTTGCTGTTTAGCTGGTAGAGCTTATCCTTGTGGCAATATTCCTGAAGGTCTGGCATCTGATGTAAAATATAAAGTGTTTCAGTGTGTCACTAGTTTACATGGCAAAAATGGGGACGGTAAATATGAAGCTTATATTGGAAAATTATTTTTGTGTATTATGTATGCTTTATACTTAAATATTGGTACTTTTCTATTTCGTTGGATCTAGTGATAAAGTTACTCACCAAATGCATGTAAATTGAAATTTTTTTAAAAAATATTTTTGGTGATGTCTATTAAAAAAACTAAATAAATAAAACAACTGAATTTAGTTGTGCAGATGAAATGAAAAAAATACTCAATTTTGTTTTTTTACTTAAAAATAGTTAATTTAGAAATATGTAACTAAAATGAATATGTCCAATTTCCTCATTGATGCTGAGTGCTTCCTGAGCTCTAGTTTGCACAGTTTGTCAAAAATTAAAATGCATGACATTTCAAATAAGGATTTATTTTATTATTATTTATTTATACTTATAGGATGCTTGCTTTGTGTTTTAATTTTCATGCCATGATGTTGTTATAGTTTAACTTTTATTTTTGTTTAAACTGATGAAAATCATTTCTATGATACTAAAAAGTCCTCAAGGTGTAAATTATAAAAAATAAAGGTACTTTGAAAAATTCTTCAATAATTGAATGCATATTAATAAATTAATTTCCTGAAAATGTTAATTGCAAAATTGGTTTGATATAATTTCTACTGGAGAAAATAAAAAGTAGAAATTCCAAAATAATTCATGTTCATGTTATTCGAAGGTACAACCAAGTAGAGTGAATATCAATTGTCAGTTCATTTCAGCAAATTAAATTGATTAAAAGCATATTCAACATTTCTCATCTATACCCTTTTGACAGTTGAGTTTGATTGTGAGGGAAGAGGCCTCATAAGCAAGTAGTTAAAATTAAGAGGAAGAAAATTTCATTTTGCAATAATTTAAAAAAAAATTCCTTATCTTTGTGATTAGTTTGGAAACTAATTTCAACTTTAGGTTCTTTTGTTTTATCTTGTCGAAATCAATGAGACAATTTTTATAATAAAATTGCATTTTGAAGAAAAACAAATTTTTATTATTTTAGCTGATTAAATCAGCAAACTTCTCATACTTTTTATGCTTTCTATAATTACAATAAAAAAATCTGTAATTACTAATTGCAATTTAATATTAAGCCTATTCCATTGTATAGTATGAACAAAAAAAAGATCTTTGTTATTCTTAACTCGTATCTGTATTGCTTTAAAACTTGATAAGATCGAATTAAATATTTTTGCATCTAAAAATAATAAAAAGTTGTTTTTTTTTTTACTTTTGAAATGCATGTGATAAAACTCATAATTTTTTGATAATTTAAAATAAGCTAAGAACTTTTAAGAGAAATAAGCTTTCTATTTTGCTTTTACTATATTATTTTTTTGATATATTTACACTCTTGCTCTTGAGTTTTCCTTTCATAAATTTTACAAGTTTGAGTTATATTCTTGTTTTTAAATGCTATATTTTATTATGTTCTCATTATTTTGTTATATTCATATAAATCGATCTGTATATCATGTATTCAGATAATGAAAGAGAAATAGTCCTTTTTTATAAAAGGGGGAAGAAATTGCAAATTCGGCAACCACAAAAGCAATTCTGTTTGCATTTTATATATTCACACACTGTTTTGAAGTCCTTGAAATTATCAACGCACTTGAAATCATTGCAATTACACCCAAAGAAGAACATGTATGTTAAAAGATTTTGTTTGCATTTTTCTTTTTTTGTTAAATATGAAGTTCCAATAATAGAGATAGATTTTTATCTTTCTCTAAGCAATTTTTTTTGTACTTAAAAAAATAAAATTTTTACTTGGTCATAAAATAAATTTCTTTAAAATAAATAAAATTCTAAAGTGTGATTTATTGTATTTTAAGCGTCCTATTAATAACTGTATGAATTGCATACATAAAGATCTTTTTAAAATTATATTTATTAAAATAAAAATAACTTTTTTCTACCCAGATACAGAAATTTATCCTTATCTAAAGACTCTTCTTCATTTTGATACTAGGGAATTTCTTAATGTTTTGGCATTGGTAAGAGCACATTTATTTATAAACATTTGATATGTCAAACAACATTTTAATATTTATTTAACTTCATTTAAATTTCTTATAGGCTTTCCAAGAACCAGAATTTTCTACAGATGTTGGGTAATTCTAATAACTATCTTTTATCATTAAAAATTTTTCTTATGTAAAAAAACTTTTTTTTTACTGATTTGTTTTTCTATTTTATTTAGATTGTCACAGAAACAACGATTAGTTGACATCTTGCTGAAAATAATGGTTCAAAGTGAAGGATTTTTGGTATGTGATTGTTTGTCTGAAAACATTTTTTGAAATAATAGTTTGGTGACACTATATAAACTTAATTATTGCCTCCATATCAGTAAGCAATACACAGTATTTCACTCATTTAATTAACATTATATATATTTTGATTAAAATATTTATAACTGGTAGAAATTAAAATCATGAAATTTTGAAAAACAATTTAAGATATAAAAACAATATCTCTTTTTCCCTATACAATACTTTCTAAAAGAGTATTATTAATTCTTTCATATCATTTTTAAATGATATTTTGCTATTTCAATATGGCTTTATTATTGTATAGTATGCTAAACGTTAGTAACTACAGAGCACTTGTTCATGTGAAAATATACGTAAATACTCAATAAATTATTAAACAGTTACTGCTACAGTTCTTATAATTTAACAAAATGACCAACTTTGATAATGGGGCCAATTTTGCTTAATTTTCTTGCCAAATCAGGAAAGACTATCATTTATTTCTTACCTTTTTATTGTTATAGAGCTGCAATTACTGAATTGCTAGAACTTATTTTTAGTAATGTCAATACTGTGTCAGAAATAATGTTTCCTGCTAGTCCTTTAACAATGATTCCTTGATTGAATCATATGGATTTTTGTGTATCTGAGATTATTTGATAAATAATGATAGAACTTGTGTTTTTTTTTTTTTTGTTTTTTTAAATCTATTTTTGAAGTAATTACTCTTAATTTTTTCTGTAATTTTTTAATTCTGTGATAGTGATCTCTGAAGTGCACTCTCTTAGTGCTAAAAACAAGTTGTTAAATTAATGTTTATATAAGTTTATGTTTAGTACTTTTTTGTATTTCTTTTAGAGATTTAAATATAAAATGTTTTTTGTTCTAAACTATTATATTTGTATTTTATTTTAAAAATCTTTACTTTAGCCTACAGAAATTGGAGCTTTATTTACATTTCTTGCTAGACAAATGGCAAAACAAGAAAATATCATCATTGTTAACAGACTTTTGTTTGAACAAGTAACTATATTACTTATTTAAATTTTATTATAATACCGCTTAGATTCACTTCTAAAGTGTCATTTTCATTTCTTACTAAACAAATGATAAAAGAAAATAATATCATAGATCACAAACTTCAGGCTTTTGTTTGGACAAGTAACTATATTCTTGATTAAATACGAGTACTTCATTGACTTCAAAAAAATATATTTCCTTTCCTCTGAAAAAATTATTATTCATATCGTTTCTTGATAAAAAAAAAATTATTTCTCAGATATTTCCTCTGTTTTCTTTAATTACAAAAAGTCTTGACTGTCTTTTATAATTAGAACCAATTCAAATCATAAAGTTTGGGGACAGTTCTGTAAAATTTAAAATTCAAAGTAACCATTTTGTCATTTATCCTCTTCTAGTTTTATATTGATTGTTTACACTTAAATTTCATGGAACTAGAATAATATTCAACTCAATTGATAAATTACAGTGAACTCTCACTTATACACCGGTGTAAGGGGCCAAGAGAAAAAAGAGCATAAGTGAAGGAGGCACATAAGTGAAAAACTTCAAAATTCTAAAACGCAGCGTAAATTGCAGCGACAATATGAATAAATATGTTTCTAAAGAAAAAATTTTAATATTTATGCTATTTTGGTATTTACTATAATTATACACAGAAAAAATTTAACATACCTTAAGACAATTTATTTTCTTACAAAATAATCTTAATACATGTTTGTATTTGTTTTTGACGGCGTATTTCAAAAACAGTTTTTTTTTCAGTTCATATAAATGTGTAAGGGGGAGTTTCAGAAGCAAAATTAAATTGTAAATAGTCACGAATAGTGTCTAAAGCTTCTAATACTGCTGTGTGATTTGGAGGAACTTTATCATTCTTGTCAGTATCATCCACCACGTTCTCATCGTCCACAGGTTCTAGTTAGATATAAATGAACAGTTCTTCACAAAAAATTTGAGTTTTATGGGAGGGGGTGAAACATCACATGATAAATTTCTAGGAAAAGTACTTGGCGTCATAATGTGCTGCACAATAAGTTGAACCTCCTCTTATTTACTCATGATGTCCATCTGACTGCAAGTAAGTGATTGCGGTCTCTTTCATCTTTCCTATTCCAGGTGCCTTCTTTTTCTAGAAAACAGCATGGGAGTAAAACTAACCTCTGGACAAGAGGAATGGTCATTTTCTTAAAGATGAATGGGCTTTCATTGTTGTTGGTGCAACAGATAAGATACACTATTCAAAATTCTAGAAAGAATGTCTTTCCAGAAACAGCAATAATGAAAAGGTCACTGGGGGAAGAAAATTCAATGGGATATAACAACATATATTTCTTTTTATCTGTAACAAGGATTGCTTATTTGCTTCATTTTTTATTTAAAAAAAATTTTTTTTTTTAGAAAAAGAGAAAAATATTTAAAGGATAAAAAATTCAAACGCTAGTCTAGAATTTCGGCGCATAATTGAAAAATTTATTTTTTGAGCGACGCATAAACGAAGGATGTTTACCATTATTTTCATACCTTATGTATTGGGACCTGTAAAAATCGTCATATAAATGAAAAAGGTGCATAAGTGAGAGGTCATTGTAGTTATTAAAATATTTTTTTATATGTCTTACTTCTTGGTTCATAGAAAATTTTTTTAAATGAAACTTAAAAAATAATTTCATTTTAAAGTTTTTTTTATCTAAAAATATTTTTTCAAGACATTTAATTCATATTTGTCTTTAAGTAATATTACAGTGATAAAAAAAAACATTGTATGTAAACCTTAAACTATACTTACTCCAGTTGCAATAGCATTTGTAGAAACTTTTTTAAATGTTAAACAAGAGATTTGTTTTAGGTTTTGGAGCATTTGACTAATCCAGGAGATGATACTAGAATAGAAGAACGCCAACAGGCATTAATGGAACTTATACAAGCAGGTGGTCTCGCTCAGGTTAATGAAGAAAGAGTATTGGTTTTGGCAGAAAAAGCAAAATTGTGAGATTCTTTTCATCTAATCATTCATGTATCTTAATTTATATAATTACTGTTTTTTATATGTTTTTATTGTATCAGTCAGTTAATTGATTGTTATTTCCACTATTTTTACTTTAGTTACCGAGTTTGTGAATATCTCTATGAAAAACATCAGTTGTATGATAAAATTCTAGAATGTTATTTACAAGATCCATCTAGGAAGGTATTGTTTCTCCCAATCATACTAATTTTAATTTTATAATATTAGTTGGTGTTAAAGCATTTTTTTTAAATGTTGTCGTGTGAATTGGTTCTTTGCAATCTTCAGTACATTTTTCTTACATATGATCCTAAATGGTGGTGCTGCTATATCTACTATATTTTCTGAAATTAACACACTTGTCCAGCTTTCATTTGAGCAATCCATATATTTATTTTGTGATTGCATTGTAATCATGCATAGGGCTGCAAATCTGTCTCGGTTCGAATTTGTCCTCTTTTTTCTAAAATCCTCGAATTTCTCGATATGTTTTGATTTTTAAAATTAGAATTTTTGTTTTCATTTTTTAATTTATTATTTTTATTTATCAGAATATTTTACTTCCCTGAAGCCTCAAATTAAACATGTAATATTGATTAGACATTTAGGGGAGTGAATCAATAGCAAAAGAGTGAGAATCAATGGAAAAATAACGAGAAAATAGTTCAGAGATAATCCTAATCTTGTCAAGTAAGGTGGTCTTTCTACATTTAGGGAAGGATGTTGACTGATTAAGATTACCTTCCTGAAGTAAGTAAGAATACAAAAGAAATAGAATAACAAAAGAAAAAAAATTTATAAATAAAATCTTTGACAGAAAAATTGTTATACAGCCTATTGCACAGAGCAATGAAATTTCTACTGCCTTTGTACGTATCCAGACAAATTTTCCTGTGCGACTTCTTGTGATTTCTTTTAGAGGGGCCTCAAACTTTTTTAAAGCATAACGCTATCCAAACATTTGCCAAAGTGGCTGTTTGTCGGTGTCTACAAACTGGGTGGACATGGAAAGATCGTTTTCAAAGTTTATAAATGTATTAAGTAATGAACGAAATAACATAAATGAGAATAATCTGTCAATGTACAATACTTTATACCAAAATTCTGTTCATTTAAATAAAAATATTAATATTGCCTGAAATTAAAAAAGGTACTTTCGTTGTATATTTTTTAAGCTTTTGTTTTATTATTTGCATAATTTCTGTCTTTTACATCATTCACATAGTATATTTTACTGTATTTATGATCTGCATAATTTTCAAAATATCCCACAAATTTCGGGTCTTTTTTCCAGCAACAAACTTGCAGCCCTAATCATGCACATGAATTTTAATTATCCACAAATAATCCATAAATGTACTAAACTAATTATATATATATATATATCATGAATCTAAAGTATTTTGTTTAATTTTTATTACAGCTTCAGGTATTTTATTTTATCGAAAAAATTTTGAATCACCCTAACCGCACATTACAAGAAAAAAAAGCTCTGGAAGATAAAATTATCTCAAGCATAGAGGTATGTCAATTTTAAATTAAACAGAAAATGAATAATAAATTTTGAGTTTTTTATTAAAACTCTATTCCATGAAAATGCCTCTAGTATCTAAGCCTTTTTTTTTATTGTTTTAATATATTTTTCATGACTTGCAGCAACTTGTAGACATTGACAATAAAAGGACTTCGCAAATTCTTTTGGAGTTTTTTCCAAATCAGCTTTTGAATGTTGTGAAAGCTTTGAATGTAAGCTCCTTTTTATTCAGCTTTTTATTTATCTTTTATTCAAGCTATTTTTTTCAATAAATTTTGTTTTTTTCTTTTCTATAGAACTTACCAGAAATACTGTACCAGTTTTTGCAAGGCTTATTTAGCAACAAGTAATCAGTTTTCATGGTTTTTCTTTAGATTTTTGATGTTTTAAAAGATGTCTTTATATTTATGTGCTTTTTGTGTAATGTGTGAAACAATGTGAAATTTATCTATATATATTTTTTCCTGAGTGAAGATTTAACAGTTTAATTTTTTTCCTGAGTGAAGATTTTACAATGCATAAAAATCAAGTATACAAAGTTATACTTTTTCTTATATACCATTTTTTATACTTACATTATACTTACCATTTTTTACTTACCATTCTTTACTTACCATTACTTACCATACATTATACTTACCATTTTTTTCTGAAGTAGAAGAATTAACATTAATTGCTGCATAATTATTTATTAAATAGAATATATTTTTGTTTCACATATTGATATGTTAGAAGTAGGTTTATTTCATTAAAGTAATTTGTCTGTTAATTTCTAGAAAGGTAATGAATCAAATTTTTGCAACTGTTTTTTGAGTGCATTGCAATGTTAGTACAAAGGATATATTATTTCAGTTTATAAGTAAAGACCTATATGAGTTGCTCAATTTTAATGTCTATTACAGCACTTTGTTAGATTCTAATACAGAATAATAAATTACAGAGAATTGAATACTTCAACATCCACTCCTAGTAACAAAGATGCCCCTATGGTAGATCCAGTGGTAGTTGAAACTTATATTGAGTTAATGTGCCAATACGATTTAAATCAAGTCCATAACTATTTGAAAAGAGCAGATGGATATCGATTAGAAGAGACTTTAGAAGTAAGCAAATTATATCCTTTTAAAAACTGTTGATATAGTTGGTGTTTTAACTTGCATTATATTATACCATAAAAAAAACAATTCAATTTTTTTAATGTCATCTATTTAATTGTCTGTCTATACTTACTACTTTTTTCTATTTGGGAAGATTTGTAGGAAATACAATGCGATGGAAGCTACTGCATTTCTCTTGGAAAGGGCTGGGGACATCCATGGAGCATTTAACATTATGCTTGAGGTACGTATGTTATTACATAAATTTATTCAGGGTCTCTAAAAAATATTGTGACTAATTTTTTAGGAAAAATAGGATACATTTTATAACCGTCGTTGAACAGTCGCCCCCAATTTAGGGTTTACGGCTACTAATGTTCAACTCCATAGCCTTGTAATTTAGAACCCAATCCACAAGACAAGGGAACTCCTGGATCAAGTATTGGAAGAAATTTTGCCTTCGTGGAGGTTTTTTGATGGAACTAGCCCGCATTTGCGTTGCATGGAGAGGAAAACCTCCCACAGGTAGCTTGATGGCAAGGGGACTCTAACCCATAATCCATCTATCACTGAGGATAAACACTGTGGTCGATGCGAGCCGGATGCGGAATTCGAATTGAACAGCTATCGCTTAGATCGAACCTGGGTCACCTCATTAGGAGGTGAACATTCCATCCTCTGAGCCACCACGGCTCAAGTAGGATACATTATAATGATTGAAAATTACACACGAACCTATAATTGAAAAGGTCGAGAAAGTGATAGAAGATAAAAAAAAAACGTGAATGCACATTGTTTGTACAAATAGCTTATTAGGTCTATATAGCTTATAATAATACAACATATGTTCAAAGATAGCATTATCAAATGATTTGTAGCAGTATCTCAGAATAGACTTGCCACAAGAGGCATTACAAACTCTGCAGTTTCATAATACCATGAGCTGTGAGAGTTTTCCACATAAAGAAATCAAAGTTTAAATTAAGTGAGTGTGGGGTTAAGGGAAGTAGCATTGTTTCTTGATTCTCAGAATTATTATGATATTGGGAAGCAGAGCACCACTTAAATGGAATGACATTTCTATTAACTTCTACCAGAAATGTATCAAAATTATTGAACTATTCATGCCATCAGAATTTTACTGTGCCAAAATTATAATTAGTATATGTTTCTAAATTGTGTTATAAATATAAGCTCTTTATAAATAACTCTAAAGTTGGCAAAGAGCATTTGACAGTGAATAAATACTTTTCAAGTTTTGTTTACATTGTTTAACTTTTATGTCTATTCACAAAGAAAGGAAGATTGGCAAAAATGAAATCACTTGGATGCTATGAAAATTATTTTAATAAAACTACTTCTTTAAAGTGGTTAAAAAATAAAATTGCCTCAATTTAAAAAATGTTTTCTAAACTCATTCATTATTATATCATACCATATGTTATATTCAATATTTCTTCATATGTTTCATCATATTAATATTTTCAGTGGTATGAACAAAAATATACCATTGACAGTTTTCCTGAATAAACTGCAGAAATATTGTGTGCTACAATCCCAATTATGAACTTACTCACATATTAAATTAACAACATGTATTATACATATTTTTACACATATATAAATACATAAATAAAATTGGTTATGGTTGATAGCAGCAAGCTAGCTCTTAATACTAGCAAGTAATATTTTTAAAACTGATCAGAACTTAATTTATTATTGCAAAACAAATTTAGGTGATTATAAAAGTAATCCCTTTTTTAATTACATTGCCAAGAGTGCTAAGAATAAAATTTTAATTTTATAAAATAAACTATTTGCCCATTAAAAAAATTAAAATTGGAATTTTTTTAAACAAAAAAAGTTTTTTTTTAGTGTTTTAAAAATCTTCTGCTCATATACAGAACAAATGTTTCTTGTAACACAAAAATGTAACTTCTCGGGTAGTTTTAGAGAAAATTGTGATAAAGAATACAAGACAAAAACAAGGCAGACTTGAAAACAATACAACTTTATATACTTTCTGAAATATGTGTTTCAATAGTAGTTTTAATACATTCACACTATCATTTGAAATTTAACAAAAAGTATTGTTAGTGTTTGACAAATTATCTAATCACATATTCTACCTTTGATCAATTGGTCTAAGAAATGTAATTGAAAGTTGGAATTGGAGTATTGTAATTAATTTGAGAAAAGACATGTATTTGTATCAAGTACTTTTTAAAATTTGCATTTCAATGCTAGATATATTTTTAAATGATTTCTTGCATTTTATCCAGACTTTTTCTCTATTTATACAATATCATATCATTGCATATCAATTGTCTTTACTTTTTAAAACTTGCACAGGGCTTGCGAACGAAAATTAAAGAAGTCACAGAGGAAATTCTTGGAGCAACTGATACAATGCAATTAGACTATTTGTTGTCTTGGAATGAGTTACAAACTCGTTTGTTGGTTATTATACAGCTGTGCCAAAGAAATTCAAACAAAATGAACCAAGAAGAACGTGAGGTAAGAAATAATGTCTGATTTTTCATAATACATAATGTAATTATATTGTTGCATTATTTTTTTTTTTTTTTGATAATTTATTTAATATTCTTCTAGATGCTTTGGTTTCCCCTTCTAGAAGCTATGTTGGTGCCACAGAGACAGTTAAGAGGTCGAGTGAATGTTTCATACTTGAATGGTTAGTCTATTACAAATATTTTATTTATTTATTTTTGCTTTTTATTTATTAGTATAGCATTTAAAAATTTATTTGGTTGTAAAACAATTCATCAATTTAAAAGGGTATTTAGAGATTCTTTTAGACTTTGAAAACTATGAGTCCTTAGGATCAAGGATATCTAAATTTCTGAGTCCTTTTTTTCTAAAGTCCCAATTTAAAATAATATAGATCTTCTGTTTATATTCTTTAATGACTGGCCTGAGCTGTAATCATTATAATAAATTAGATTCTATTCTCAATTTTTCTATTCTATTTATCCTCACATATTCTGTTTCTTGCATTAGTATTTATCTTTTTTGTTTAGATTTGGATAACTTTGATTTTTTTGTTGTTAGAATTGATAATTTATTTTTATTTTATTTAATATTTCATTTATATTTTTGGTGTACAATAATGTGGAATCATTTATCAAGAATAGATTAAACAAAACCTGCATCTCATAATTTATTTTGAAATATTCTATGAAGTTTAACTTGTTATTTGCATTAAATAATAATTGCAATGTATTAAATAAATGAATTTATTTAAAATGAAGGAGCTAAAACATCAATCTATATTTGTTATCTTGTGGTAAAATTTATTCTTATTTTCTTCCGAATTAGCCTTTAAAGAGCAAACTCGACATTTGCTTAATAACATGATGGGGTACATCTCACTTCCTGCCATACTGCAAAGAGTTGTACAGGTAAATTTTATTTTTTATAAATTGAAACAAAAAATACTTTTCACCGACTTGAACAAGATAATTTTCTTTTTCAGGACCCAGCTTACAATACTGGCAAATTCGGAGAAATAAGGGAACTAATTATGGGAATGTTTGAAACCTACAATTATGAAAAGGTATTACCCTTCAGTCACTAGTTCTAGTTCATTTTATTGCTTCCCTCCAAAGCGAACTGGTATTTTTACATATGTTTTTAATGAGAAATTGTTTTATATAGGATAAAGTTCTTTACAAATATTCACAGTGAGGAAAATATAATAAATTTTTTTTAGCATTTTTCATGATTATGCAAGAATTGGTGATTAGAATCTCATTTTAAATGGCAATTTAATGAAGCCTTATATCAATTTATTAAAAGTAAAATACAGATAATCTTAACTCTAAATTTTATTGTCATTGTTATCCCAATAAATTGTTAGCTACTGCTTTTTGTTATGTTAGTGTATTCATAAAAATGTATTAAAAAATATTTTGACTTAGAAAAATTCAAAATTTTATATATTTTTTGTTGCATTTATTTCACAAATGATTAACTATACAACACCTAAAAAGCCTCAATAGTTCAGGAAATAACATTTTGTTTTTAATTTATAAACTTATGTTGTGTATTTATTTTTAAAAAAATGCCTTGTTAACTCATATTCTACTGACACTATTAGAAAAATATTTTTATTACATTATTCTGATTCCTTGCCAAATGTTCTTAATTTCCAGAAAAATTATTAAACAGTTTTATTCTGAATTTTTTTTTTAAATTTAAAGATTGACAATATTCTCTTTTGTTAATTTTAAGAGCTTTCAAAAAAAAAAAATTGTTTTTTTTTTGAAAGCTCTTAAAATTAACAAAAGAGATCAACAACAAAAAAAATTTTTTTTTCGAGGCATACAGTGTTTAAAATGTTAGTAATTTAAGATGTTTCTAACTAATTCAAATATACATTAAGTTGGTTATTGATGTTAAATCAATTACACACCATGTGCATACATCAGTTTTTAAAGTTTAGGGAAATATTTATTTACAATTCTAATTTTATTTGTTAACAGTTTGCTTCTAAGATTACATTTATTAATAAAATTCAATAAAAATAATAAATATACTTTTAAAATTATTATTAATAACGCAACTGTTTCCTCCACAAATAAAATGTTCAAAATGCTTAGAAGTTTAAATGCTAATGTTATCCAAGTGAACAATTTATAAAAATTTTAGGATTTTTTTTTTTTTATATTTTTTTATTAAAATCTGTTTTTATTTTTTTTAATACATTATATTTGTATTAAAAAGAATCCCAAACATACAGGAACTGGAGCTCAGAGTCATTAGATATTGTATTTTTTAAAGTAATATTAATACTTTTTATTTATCTATTTTTTTATCTGACATGAATTTCTTGATATATCTCCATTTTAAACAATGTGTACCCCATTTTCATCTGCGAGACAAAATGCAAAAACCTGTATGTCAAATCAGAGTTCCTTTTTTGTGCAATTTCAAATCTGCAAAAAATAATGCTGCATAATATTAAACTTTTGAAGTTGCTTTTACCTCCACCTTAAGAAGTGGTGGCCAAGTTTGGTATCATTTATCTGCTTTAATATTTGTATATATTTGACATTTGTATTTTTAGATTTTTGATCTGACACATATTTCTTCAGATATTTGACTACTATCCAGGCACCCTATGTATTCAACCTTGTTTCGTGACCAATTCTTTTAAATAAAATTTCTAAATGCAAGTATATATGTATCTATATACTTAATGTCAGATGTAAATATTTTATACCTCATAAGTATTTGTTAGTGAGGAATGCAATTAAACATATAAAAATATGGTTTGCCAGAATAATTGTTGAATTTTATTGTTTTGTCAAGTAAACATGTTTTCTTGTTAAGTTTTAAAAGTTAAACTATTATTCAGTATAAATAGGAAAATAAAAATGACACGCTACAATGTATATTTTATTTCTTATTTCAGACTTTGTTAGCCACTACCACAAAACTTTTAAATGATGATCTACACAAACAATTAAGGCATCTTTGTCAGTCTGCTAATCAAGCTCTTATAAATCATAATGAGATTTGTTCCTTCTGCCTAAATCAGTTGGATTCTGATGAAAATGTGGAGATTTTAATATTTAGGTTAGTTTTAACTTTTCTTTATTTCAGGTTCTTTACTAAGTTCAAGTACAACTATCCCAAGGTGTTCTAGTTTCTTCTCATGCTTTTCCTATTTGTTTCTCCACTGAGCATTGTTTCTAACATTTAATTTTATAATCTGCAGAACTTAATCTCATTTTCAGTTTATATTTATATTTAAAGTTTTTAGTGATCAAATGAACCAGCATCAATCATTAAATCATATTTTTGTTTACATTAGAGATTTTTTTCTATCATGCGGATATTTCATCGAAAAAAATTTGTATTTTTTTTTTAATCCGTAAATAAATAATCCCAAATTTTTTTTATATAGCTTACGTTGACAACATAATGTAAGTTAGATGAGGATATATTAATACTGTGGGTATTTGGATTGTCTCTCTCAGTCTATACTGCTTTAATGTTGGGGTTTTTTATAACTGTTGTTGAACAGCTGACCCAATTTTGGGTTTATGACTATCAATGTTCAACTCCGTAGCCTTGTAATTTTGAACCCGATCCAGAAGACAAGGGTCCTGGATCTAAATTGGGAGACAATTTAGTTTGTGGAGGACTTTTTGATGGAACTAACCTGCATTTGTGTGACATTGTGAGGAAAACCTCCCATGGTTAACCTAGCGGCAAGAAGACTCCAACCCATAATCCATCTACCACTGAAGATATTTTCTGTCAGTAGTGTGGTCGGTGTGAGCGGTGCTTGGAATTATGAATATAGGTCCTCATTGTTTTGGGTAATGGTTCATTTGCCTAAAATCTATTTTGTTTTGATTTTTTATTGTAGTTAATAATTTTATAGTTTTAAAATTACATTTTAATATTTACAAAAGAACAACTTATTTTCCATTGTATTGATTGGACTATTTTGTCATATAGGTGTGGTCATGTTTATCATGCTAGTTGTCTAAGTGGAAAAGATGGAGATGAAGATGTTGCAAATTACTCGTGCATTAAGTGTTCAAGGCATCAGAGGCATATCAATAATGTTGATCATGCTAGGATATCATACAGACGAAATACAGCCCATCCTCCCTTTAAATCAAGAGCCCGGACTTCATCGTTTAAAGAGGTTAATATCTTTTTTAAATGAAATATTTTATAAGTTTAATTACATTCAACCAATGAAAGTGGTCATATTTAATGTTGGTGTATAATTATCAGTTTTCTAAAATAGAAATTTACATTGCTAGTTATTCTAACAAATAAAATCAACACTATGTGTTTAACCGAAATAAAACTGCATACACATTCATTTATGCTTAGAGGATTGCATTTAAATACAGGGTTATTTAAAAATAAAAATTAAGGACATGTATCATAATCCTAAAGTTAAGTGTTTTTACAACTGTTTCAGCATTTACTGATTACACGATTTTCATAAATTCTGCCATTTATGTATTTTTCTGTGTTGAATCATACAAAATCAAAGCACGTTTAGTTAAAAAGTTTTCATGTATAAAAGTACTATTTTGCCCTAACAGGATGATATTTTTTGTATTAAGCGTTCTCCCCAGTGGAACACAACAGGATTTGAAGGCAACCTTGACACAAAAAAATAAATAAAAATGAGAAGAACTAAATCAACATGCTACTTCTCATCCATGGAAGTTATATATTTTGGTTTTCTTGAGCACTGGTGTGCGTAGCATTTGTAGTGTAATTTGTTACTCGTGTGTCATAACTTATGGCAATTTTGTTTCCAAGATAATGTGCACATATTTAACATTACAATTATAGTTAGTACATGCTTAAGGTATATTTGTTTTTAATTTAGTGTTGCCTAACCTTAACTTCATATCTGGAGTAAAGAATGGAGAAGTACCCTATTCAGTCTATATTTATATTTGCAATGAAAATAGTTATGATAGCAATGAGAAGAAAATGTCCCCTTTAAGATAAATGTATTACTTTTTACTAATTAGTAATATATAACCCATACCGTTATCAAGAGGTTAGACGCTTTGACATTTAAAACTATATAAACTTTTTTTCTGCATTTCCACTTTATGAAAGTATGAGTTAATAGACACATTTGCAGCATTCACTATTTAGTATTTTAAAATCTGTTCCACCCTGACTATTTACATGTTTGACATGGCCAAACCAAGCTTTTAGCAAAACTATAGCATTATCATAATAAATATTTTTAATACATTATTAAATACGCATACACACATTTTATACTTTAATCATCACAAAGTACATAATTTTTTTGTGCAATCTTTATATATAACCAAATATTTGCAACTCAAAATTTTGTAAGAAAAAGAAGTTTGGACCATTTTTGTGTTTTCTTTCCCATGTATGTAAAATTTTGAAATCCCAACATTTAAACAATTTTTCTGTGAAATTTATGCTAGAAATTTGTATTAGTTTCATTACTAGTAAGAAAAATATATCTATGTAATATCTGCCTGCTATGTAATATCCGAAAGTATACTCTTAGCTCCAGGTACTTATTAGTGTTCATTATTTCTTTTCTATTCCTGATAGTTTAAATTAATATGTAGTAAGAGAGCTTTCCTAAAATCACTAATATGTCTGAAAGAACCCGACAATAAGAAATAATCATTTGTGGCAGTTAATTAATATTCATAGTAGATGGCTAGACATCATGTGAAGTGACATTATATAGAATACTAAACAATCACAGGTTGAAAATATACATAATTAAAAATTGCAATAGGATTACTTCCATACTAAGTAATCTTGCCATATTCTGCATACACTGATTTACTTTTGTTACCCCTGCAGATAGCACCACTTTAAAAATGAATTGAGGGACCAATATAAATCAAAAAATCAAGGAAAAATCAAAAAAATGACCATAACCCAAAAAGTTAAGTATAGAATTTAATAAAACTGGCACACATCATAGTGTGTATAAAATAACTTAAAAACTATTAACCAGACAATTATGATATGTATCAATTTGGAATTGAAAAAAACCACCTTCAGTATTATCATCTCCAGCAGCAATACAGTGATGTTTGATGCAGTCTACCAGTTCAGTAGGAAGTGTGGGTCATTGTTCATGCAAAGCAGTTGCAAGCACGGCAAGGGTCTGAGGAGGAGGATTGAGAGCAGCTACACACATCTTCCTGAAGTATCCTAAACAGGCTGGATAGGATTCAAGTCTGGCGATCGAGCCTGCCACTTGTGTGCTGAAAATAATAATCCATGAGCCCTGTGCGGTGTTGTGCTATCATCCGGAAGCACAATAGCATCCCTATCTCACCAGCATAAGAGCGAACATTAACATCAAGGATGTCATCTCTATATAAGTGAGCATTCATAGTTTCGCGTCCTAAGACATGTAAGTTTGTGCATCCACCCCCCTTTGGTATATCACTTTAGAGGCTAAACCTGGACTCATCTATGAAGTGAACAGCCCTCCATTGGTAGCTGTCCAGTGGACATGTTGCGCCCGTTCTTTGGCATGCAAATGGCTAGTTCCCTAGCGAACAAACCACATTTGTAAAGCCTTCTATGTTTGATGTTGGCTGCACTAAAAGAGAATATTAGCCTGGTGGAGCTGTGGTTCTATTCATTCGTGCACATAGCGATAGATATAGATCATCGGCTCTCGTCCTCGCATTTGGCCATCCTTGTTTGAACCTGTGGTTTGAAATTGTTGCCTAAGTGTGAACCACAGAAGGACTCCCATTTAGCCATCTGGTTACTTCTGACTTTATCCTGTCTCAAATCTTCCAGATGATCTCCATCACAGCTCTTCGGACAAATGATGCCTGGAGATCATTGGTATAAATAGACTATTTCTAATTTGCAGGTTTACAATCAAACTCACAATTTTATGCTCTTTGTAGATGATATCATTTGATAACAGTTTTACTTAGCAACTCTTATTTTACAACATATTCAAACTTCCTTGAGATTGGCCTTTTTTGGGTGATAATTATTGCTATTTTTGTAATTTTTCCTTAATTTATGATAATCTGGGTAAATAAATGATCCATATAATTCTTTAAATTTCAAGATCAAACATAAAATCACTTTTGCCCTTTATATTCAGATCTTGACTGCCTAAATATATGGATACTGCTATATAGTTAGAGTAGTTTAGTTAGGAGATTAATCGAATGTCATTCACTTATTGCAAATTTCATTGTATCTCTTAAATTATTTAAGCAAGAATTATAATCAAATACTTTAAGATGCAAAGATTTGTTTACATTACTATTGAAAAAACTACTTTCATGAGTTTTATGACTTGCCAAAATAGTTTCACAGATATGACCAATTATGCAAAACTAATAGTAGAATGTCCAAACCTTTGACCACTCTAAATTATTTAAGGTCAGTTATTCAGAGAAATGTGTTTTTATGTTTGATTTCATAACTTATTATGAACAAAGTCACAGAAATTGAGATTGCATGTCAGTACAAGAAAATCCTATCATTATATCAAAAGTGATTAAGGCATTGCATTTTTTTTATTTTGCACACTCTATCTCGCTGGTAACATAAATCATATTGGTTTTGAAACTGTTAATCTACAACAGATGCATTTTTATTGTTGAGAAATCATATAATGAAAACACAGAGTCTTATGTTAGACATATCTTTATCTAACTTTGTAGAATGTTAATTATTCCTAAGTTTGGTATTCACATTTGTTATTTCTAGGCACGTTTAAATGCTCAGCAGTTGCAAGCTCTTGAATTCCTGAGAAAAATTCAAAAGTCTCATAGAGTAAGTATTAACTCTTTTCATTACCTCTTCAGGAATTGTTTCAATCATCAGTCCAGATCAAAGATTACTAACTAAATCTTATGATACTTTTATATTAGTTGTGTATATTTTGTGATATTTTTTAAGTTTTTTCCTTGATAAGCCTTAAACGATTTTGTAATTCACTGCTGGTCATTGAACATGACAAGCTCCACGACATATAAAACACAGAGCGATGTGTAAACAATTAAGAGTTTTAGCACATTCATGCAAAGCAGTGATTCAATTTGCATTTTAACCTTATTTTTGGCTTTAAAAGTTGTAACGGCTCATTTACGAAATGCCTACCAAGGTTGCGGTTTATCATACTGCATTAGCTGATATCTCTTTACTGTTGGCAGAATTTGGTTCAGAACGTCATGATGAATTTCAGCCATCTTCACAAACCAAAAAGATATATTTGCACAAGTACAGCAATACAAGCGTTTTCAAGATGAAAATTTTGTGCTCAAACTGTAGTAGTCAACCTTTGTGCTCAAACAGTATGAACTGCAAACATGGCAATCAAAGCTTCTGCTATACTTATGCCACATTAGAAACAGCAGCATCCCCAGTGGAGGGATGAAAGGGGTCACGTTAACTTCACAGATAAATTCTACCTTATCTGTGTTTGGCAGCATCCTAAAGAACGTATGCTGCCAACTTAGATTAGAGATCATCTATCTGGCTTATTACCCATAACGATTATATTGGATATGTGAGTTGATTACCCTTGTTCAAATTCCTGGCATTATGATCACCATTGGATGATACATTTCAATTGTATTAGGAACTATGGTTTTTCCTTATTTTGAGGCCTCTACGTCTTTTTTCAACAAGACAACCGCATGTTGCCCTACAGTCATGAACGACAGTTTCTCCTTATCTTTGAATGTGTGGATAATGGTTGCCAAGCAACTAAATCACTGCAATCTATTACTGACTTAGGTCCTTGAAAATGCTATACAATCTTAGTTTGGCTCCTTGTCCAGGTGGATAAATACTGTTATTTCTCAGAATATGAACCCAATTTCCTGCAAATTTTTATCACTTGTAAAAGGTAATAAATGCTATTCTCAGTCCATGGTGTAGCAATGTTAATGGCCAGCACTGAATTTATATCATCATCATCATAGTTGGCCAGACAGCCCAATGTGAGCCAATGCCTTTTGCTGAAGATTTCTCCATGACGACTTCTGATTCACCTTTGATCTCCAATTCTTTTCATTAATCGCGAGAAAATCAGACTCCACTGAGTCAGCCCATCTCAACTGCAGCCTTCCCCGCTTTCTTGTTCCAGTGGGTCTAAAAGGCAGTACCTTTTTTATTGTATTCTCATCACTCATTCGATTTTATTTCTGAATTTGTGAGATTTCTAACAAATTCTTTTCTTCCTTATTTTATTGTTACTCAATAAGTTTGCAACCCCTCTTAGAACTAGTTTCTGCAATTTTAAATTAAGATTTGTAAATAGTGGAACCTGTGAAAGTGACCACCTGGGTAAAGTAAACGCCTGAGTAAGGTGACCATTTTCTACAAGTTTTATTTCAAGAGTCCTTTTTAAAGAGCCTTCGTAAAGTGACCACCTCTATATAGTGACCATTTGACTTGGTCCCGAGGGTGGTCAATTTAGACAGGTTCCACTATCAAAAATACTATTTCAATTAGCCTCTTATAGGCAAAAACATCGTTGGTAAAACTTAACCCTACCAATAATCAGTAGTATTTTAGTAAGGAGTTTTGAGTAGAGTGAAATAAGTGGAAGTCTAATGACATAAAGTTAGGTGAGTATGGTGGAAGGTCCCATCCAAGCTCTAATAACTTATGACCGGTCGAGACCAAAGATGTATGTGGTCTCGAATTGTCAGGATGGGATCAGGACGTTTCTGGCCGACAGATTGGTTCAAACTGTCAAATTGCCTACATTACACATCTGAATTGATTGTCCCATTTCTTAGTTGCACCATACCCTTCCAATCTCACCACACTAAGAGTATAATTTTCCTCTGATTAAGTTCTGGTTATGAAGTGGATGATGGAGAATCTTCACCTTGGAACTAAAACCGATTGTGCACTGCATTGTTTTAAACAATCTACTTCTCCTCACTAGTTACAAAAGCTGGTAGTTTTATTCATGTTTCGTAAGCATATAGCAGATGTTTGTGTCATCTTATGAACTTCTTTGAGTAGAACCAAAATTTTGAGCTTGCTTACATATCCTAGTTTCTTTAAATGGTTGTGAACATTTTTTTTTTGGCTGACCTTCAATGTCTCTGCCATCTCTCGTGTCGTGTAATGTGGGTTTGACTGGATCAAAATCTATTTTGTCATCAATCCGGGTAGACATTCCTGAACAAGGAGTATGTTTCAAATCGGCATTGACATTCTTCTAGAGCTTGGTCACCATAAACTTAATGCAATTTTTCACAAGATTGTATTGGAAAAGTAAAATATGACAATATTGCACACTTTGATATTCCATGTTTAATATGCTGTCAAATCTCCAAAACTCAACAAAATGTATCTCAATTTGTTGTTTACAACGAAGCTATCAATGATGTAAAAACTATTATTGCAATGACTTTTATGCATCCCAATCGATAATTAATGATTGTATTTCATGTTTGTTTCAGACCTCCTTGTTTGAAGATTTAATTCAAGATGGAAGTAAAAAAACATTAACCGGTTCTCCTGTAAAGAGAGCAGCTCTAGATGATACTCTAAAACTAAATTTAGCTCCAGCTGGCAATGAAAATTTCCAATCAGAATTTTAAAAACTTATTCTAGTCTTTTTTTATGAAACAGAATAATTCCTTTATACATTTCTTTCCATCGAAAAAAACTGAGACAGTATCTCTCATCATATTTACTGTGATTTATAAACATTATTGATTTTCATGAAAGAATTCTAAATATGTTTAGAGACAATTGTGTCCAGAAATAAGTAAAATGGCTATGAAGTTGCATCACACAAGTTCCAAATGTTACTAAGACATTTTGTGCAAGTTAATATTCCAAAGATGTGATATATCTTTTTAATTATTGTACAAGTTTTTTTCATCTGATAGCTCTTGGCCTTTTTACTGCACCTAAGCACCATTTTGCAGCTCAAAATTGATTTGAGTTTATAATTGTATTTATTAGATTTTGTAAAAAGAATATTTTATATTATTGAAACAATAAAAAAGCTTTAAGATTACAAAAAATGTCAGCCAATTTAGCTCACATTTATAGAATTAATTTATAGAAAGTACTACAGTTTTTCCTAACATTGACACTAATTTACCCAGGGCATTTGCAAAACTTTTCCCACAAATCCCAGTATGGCAAAAGGGTAGAAATAAAGGTTATCCTTCGACAAACTCTATGCAAAACCTCTCTAATCATTTAATAATGAAGATAAAATTAATACCCAAGATATTATTTGAAGGAAAAAAAACTTCGTTATTATAAATGATACCTGAAAAATCCTCTATGCTTCTCCCTTATTTTAAGAGAAATGGGGATGAATTGAATTTTATCTTCATATACAAGTAAGGCCTTATGTCCCGCGTGCAATCCGGAGATGTTCGAACTAATAGTTGAGAGGTAAAGGGTTTTATATGCAAATTTGCATTTGAATCTGTTTACAAATCTTATAATTTAAACAAGTGAAGCATTCTTTCCAATGTACTTTTTCTCACTGAATTGAATGTGACTATAATAGAGTCAATAAAATAATTAGTTCAAAAGTTGCAAGCATTTAAATGTATAAAAAGTACTACTTTTAACATGACTTAGCCCCTAAATAGCGAAGTAAAAAATTTACTATCTTAACATGTAAGGTATATTTTCCGATGAAATTTTTTTTATTTAATTCGAGTTGATTAATAGTTATGAAGTTTATAAGGGTTTTCTTCTTAATGAGTGCAATTAAAAAACTATTTCAACAATAGAAATAGACCCTTTTGATTCTTGTTTGATCTCATTCAATTAATTGAAAAAATACATAGAAAATAATACCTCACACGTCTGTATAGACAGAATTTCAAAATTGCATATTTTTTTCACTAAACCCTTATAATTTCTTAATCTGTCACATTGATTCTTCTTTTATCGCACTCAATTCAACATGAAAAATTACATTGGAAGATATACCTTACATGTTGAGATATTTTCTTGAATAGCAACTTAAATTGTATCAAATGAAGTACTTTTTATACATAAAAACTCCTGCAACTTTTGAACTATTTACTAGTGTATTGTCTCATGCAATTCAACCAGAAAAAAATATATTGCAAACAATGCATAACTTGTTTATGTAATAATGTTGGATGCATAAATAGATACAAGTTCAAGAACGTGCATTTTATATATTTATACACTTATTTTATTTTAAATTTTTTAAACTATTGGTCTGACTGTCTCGGGATTGGTCTCATTCAACTCAGCGGGGGAAATATATCATTTGCTTATTTATAAGAAATTCAATTTTCCTCTCAAATAACTCTCATTTTCCTCAAAAAAGGGGAGAAACAGACAATGAAGAGTTTTCAGATTATTGTTTATAATAACAAAGCTTTCTATGAAGAAAAAAAACATGGTTGTTAATAATATTTTCAAAGAAAATTCTATTTTTACTGGACTGCAAATTAGCTTTATGTCCACAAGTTATAATAAAATTAGTTTGAGAAATATAGCAAAATTTCATCCATAAGAATAGACCATTATCAGGCATGAATAAACAATTTAGACCCATCTTTCAAACATGTGTAAACACCAAAATTTTATATTGTTAGAAAAAGGGCCTTCCTTAAAACAATCTATAATGGATATTGAACTATTATTGAAAGTCATACAAACAAATAATTTCTGTTTTTAAAAATATGTCGATAAACAAAAGACACATTAACACCAATTTCTTCATGCTCACAAACATAAAATATTTCTTAATCATTACATATACAAGTAAAAATAGCTAGACAAAGATTTACAATTACATAAATATAAAAATGTACTTAATATTTCCATAAATCTATTTACCTGCATTAAAAAGCAGCAACTCTGTTCGGTAAAGAATTTGAAACTACACCAGTCCAGAATTCATAACTGCATACTAGTCTCTTGAGAACAATGGAAGCTTGCAAATAGTAGTTTAGTTTCAAAATTATAAACCACTGGCATAGAATTTGCTACAAACGTTTCATAATTAATAAAATAACTTTTCTATTAGTGTTAAATCAAAAGTTGATTACATTATTTTTTCAACGTGCCATACATTTTTATTTTAACTACCAAATGGAGTAGAGATTAGAGAATACATTGACTATGTGCACTTCTTTTTACCAGGTAATATTAATTTAAATATTTAAAACAGCAGACTGAACTCAAATATATGTCTTAACAAAACTTATTCTACTGACAGTTAATTAGACTTTAATGCAAGTTTAGAAATCCTGAACTCAAATAAATAAAGAAATGGGAACATTTGCTGAAAAATAAACAAATTGGGTTTTGAAAAAATAAAATAAAAACAATGGCTCGCAAATGTTGGATTTTAAAGTTTATTTCTTGTGAAAATTTTCACACATTTTCAATACACAAAATGTGCTTACTGTGCCTAATTGGTTTAGTAGTCTTTATAGAATCCTATTTGTTGGATTGCTAAATGTAACAGGTTCAGCAAAGAATTATAAACGGGGATGCTAACCTGCAGCCACAGTGCAATTCTTATGTAGTTTTTCTCAGCAACAGAGTTAATTTTTAGCGCCAATATTGAAATTCAAAATGAAACTTATAATTAATATTAAAAAAAAATATTTTTCTAAATTGCACAAATCTATCAATGTGATTGCTTTAAGTTTAATTACAAAGTGAATAAGCTTGTCTATTCAAGGGAAAAAATTATTTATCACCTAATTGCAAACAATTACTAAAAAATAGGAAATCCTTCTCTAATTTAAAAATACACTTGAAAATAAGAAACCCTTCAAAAAAATTGCAAAAAGAAATATTCCACAGTTGTAAAAGAAATAGCTTCTACTAGCATAGATTTTGAATAACACATCTCTGCAAAATAAAGAAATAAATTAAGTTTTTTATGAATAAACTTTATTTTCTTAAAAAAAAATTATGAGTATTAATTTTTTTACATATTACCAGAACATTGTATAGGAACATGAAATGAAAAATATATTTGCTACAAACAAAACACTTATTCTGAAATTGAAATACATTCTGAAACTAATACACATTTTACAGTTATTGAAAATGTTTATTATACATGATGGAAAACTTAAAAATTCATGATAAGGCAAAAATAACTCTGAAATCAAAGATTAAAGTTAATTAAGAAAATATATTTAAATAATTTTATTTTACACTAGCTTAAGTAGAAACTATGAAAGTCAATTCATGCTTTGAACTATATGTTATGTTATGAAATCTTGCAAATTTAAATTACTTAAATTAACAACAACTCATTTACTAAATACAAGCAATATGTTTCAAAGTATGATTTTGTAGCTAAGCTGACTAGAAGACAAAATCACATGTATCATTAAAATATAATTATTAAAAAAAAAGAATTTTTAAAACTTCATATTCTTTGACAGTACAATTAAACAAATTATTTCTGTAACAAAATAATACTCATTTTTAAATCTCACTTTATTCTAGACTGTTGATTAAGAATCTGCGAAAAGCTACTACATGCATAGAAATACTGAATGTTACCAAATAAATAAAAAAAATACCTAAACGAAAAATCTCACTTTTATAAAAGAAATAGTGAAGTGTTCAATAGTTTATAACCTTGCCTTATTGTTAACACATTGTTGACCAGTAATGAGTAAACTCGTCGTTGCACTTGCTTTATCTATTTTAATTTATAAAACCCAGGGTGATAGAGAATATTTCAAAGTTTAAATAAAATTTGTGTTTATTTAGAATATTTTGCTTTACTTCTATTACACTTGCATTATCTATTTTAATTTATAAAACCCAGGGTGATAGAGAATATTTCAAAGTTTAAATAAAATTTGTGTTTATTTAGAATATTTTGCTTTACTTGTATAATCAATTACAAAATAAAAGCTGGTAACATGACATAGTTGTGTAAAATTGCCAGTCAACAAAGTGTTATACGGGGGAAAAAAAGATTTTTAAAAAAATAACTTATACAACATTATAACTATTTTTATAATTATGATTACTAATTTTACTTTTGAATGATTAAATACCTATATTTTGTTCTAAACTTAGTTCTCCAGTGCATATCCAGCCTGCCACAAGCTACATTATCCCCCTCAATTTTTTTGTGACTTTTATTACTAATAAAAATAACTGTTTACATATTTAATCAAAAGGCTATCAGCTTATATAGCTTAAGAAATTATATTTTTAAAAAAAACTGTGTGCAGAAAATTTGAACCAATTCAATATTGCACTCATTTTCAGAAAATGATAGTAAATTATTCCCTCTTGCAAACAGCGCCTTCCGTAAAGAATGTTCAGTCGTCGTGCTTTTTGCATTAGATTATGTGATTTTGTACGCATTAAGATGTAAAAATGATTGAATTTTCATAAGGATAGCAAAATTGAAAAATAATTAGAACTTATTAATATTAATTTCACAAAACTAAAATTTACATTTGAATGCAATTCAAAATACTTTTAATATTTCAAAAGAACAACAAAGTTAAATGTTTCAGCCAAATGTAACCAATTTCTTTCTTTTCCTTCTCCTCACTGTATTACTGTATTGATTCCTCTTTTACAGTCTGCTAACAATAAACTAGTACTAATACGTATGGAGTTATCAATCAATGCGAAATTTACAACAATTTTATATTAGCAATTAAAACAAATTGTTATCAAAATAAATTTCATTGTATCATGATTAAAAAAATTAATAAGTTCTATTTGTTTCCATTAAGAGTGGTTGAATTGTCTTTCTGATAAGCTAAAATTTAATTCACATCAAAAAAATATATTTATGTGCAGATTTGAGGCACAGTAAGGCTTCATTTTTTAACTATGCTAAAATTATGATTGATTTTTCACAAACTTAAGTAAGATTGAAAACTATAAACATAAGAAAGTGGATGGGTTGTATATTAATTAAAGAATACTCAAACCTTACTTGCATTGTAGCAAATCATATAATCCATTTTAATATGAAGTAATGTTAAAATTTTGTGTTTTCTAATTATAGAACTAAAACCACTCTCACAATGCTTAAGTACAAAAATGCAAACAAGTAAAAAATAATAATTATTAAAAAAAATATGACTTAAAAAGAGACTAGAAAAATATATTAAATTAAATTGAAAGATAAATTATGTTTCCATGAGCCTGTTATATTTTATTCATGATTAATTCCTAATCTGACTGAACCCAGTACAGAACTATTCTCATAAAATGTGAATATTAATTTTATATGTGTATCAATGTGTGAATATTAAATGTCAATCAACCCCTATATTTACACCTATTAAAACTGGAATTCTAAAATACAAAACTTCCTCAGGGCAAAATTTTTCTTTTATATATATGTGTGTTTCTTTTTTTAAATAAAGATACATTCAGTTTAGGACATGGTTATTAAGAAAATGATAGGTGAAATTTGTAGCCTGCAAAAGAAAAAAGAACTCAAAAGAAAGAATACAAAAATATAACTTTTCATGAATATTTCTGCAAATCCATAAACTGAAGCAATATGACTATAGAACTTAAGTTATAAGTAATAATAAGTTATGCATTCTGAATAATATTAAAATTAAAAAATTTGTTTAAATCTGTAATGTTCATAAGCCAATATTCCTAGTCTTGAATACATCATATAGCATCCACTCTAGCTATGACTATCTTTCTTTATCAGAAAATAAAATTTTTCAATCTCTTTTATAATATTTTTAAATTTGGTAAACTTTGGTTTTGGAGTAATTAATATTTTATACAACAATCTCAAAGTATATTTTGTTAATAAAATTTTTTAAAAAAACATCGATAAGTATTAAGAATAATCATATTTCTTTAAATCAATGAAAAAAAATTTTTTTTTAAATTTAACATTTAACACCTTAGAGAAATATTAAAAACATATCAATTTAAATTTCACCTACATACTTGTTATTTTAATACTTTCGTGCAACATAAGTAAAATGTGCTATTTACATGCTGTTTAATTTCTTCTTTCTTACTATACCAAACTTCAAACGAGAATTTCTCAACTTTTAAAAAAGTTTTATAAGTCTTATTATATAATTTCATGCCATTCAAATACATTTAAAAAACTTAAATCAAATGAACTACTTAAATATTCCACATTAAGCTTAATAACTTGTAATAACATCCTGGTATTTTTTACAAAATACCAGAAAATAAATAATTTTACATATAGATGACTTACGTCAAAGAATAGATTAATATTGCTGTCTTTGGCAAATGATTCCATTAAAATTATAGTTTTATTCAAAAACTCATTGTGTAAAAATTAGGAAACTTCGCCAACTTTAATATTTTAAGCACAATATTGAACAGTACTTCCTCTCAGGGAAAGACTAGAAGTGTGCAAAATAATGTCCTAAATGTAAACAAACACTATGTACAATTTTAACATTCAAGAGTTCCACACCTATACACAACAGTTTTAATTGTAATTTTACCAACTAAATACATTTTAACTTAATTCTTATATTCTCAATATTTAAAAAAATTTTCTAATATTTTTTAATTATTTAAAAAAATCAAGGCAAAGATCAACCTGTTGAATTTAAATTGCACTTTTGAATGTGAAATAACATTTCAGTCTCATTAGTAATTTACTAGTTCTAATGTGTTTTCACAAATAAACATGCGTTTCAAAGTTTGAGAATTAACTATTAAAAATCAGAATTTTTTTTTACCTTATTGGAAATCTAATAGTTTTACTTACATGAACCAAGAGAATAAAATTATCTAGCAGTAAAGATAGAACTCTTCTCCTTGTAAATAAATTGTATCAAAGTTTCCCAAACCTTTAAACATATTAACTTACTTTTGAAAACTTGAGACTATTGCCCCAGTGCACTGAATTTTTTAGAGATAAATAACGTGAGTTTTTCACAAAAGAGGTTATTATGATTGTTAAAAATCCTGATGTTATTGATGAATTCATTAATTAATAAAAGATATTTTTTTCCAAATTCTTACAGGAAACATATGTACACTTAAAATTTTGTTAGAGATTTATCAAAAATTGGCTCTTCGGCCACTGGTTTGTCTAGACCCAAGTTTGGGTAACTCTTATTTGTATATTTAACAGAAACAACTTCATTTACTGAAAATAATCACATTTCTTTGAAAAATAAATAAATAAAAATCTTCTTCTTTTGAATAATCCTTTTTCTTTGAAGTAATCATGAAAAATATTACAAAATATTTCATTGCATTACAAATAAAAATACAAAATGTAAGACATTTGGTATCAAGTTTTCTTGTGCAAAATGCAATGCAGAGCAAACCATGCTAATTGTTCCAAAATGTAAATGATCCCTCCGTAACATTACATTTCAAAATACTTTCTACCCACTTCTAGTTTACTTTCTGTCATTAACTCTAGAGGGCTCTGTCCTCCTACTTCAAGTTCATCAAGACTCTTGTATACCCTCTTTGGTATGGGGACAAACTGACTTTTAGCCCTTACAATTCTTAATTTCAATACACAAGTCTTTTCATTATTCCTAAATAAACTTTATCTCGGGATAAAATTAAAAGAATTTAAACTTTTTTCCTTGAAAAAATGGAGATATTTTGCAGATGAAACAGTAAAAATAAACTATTTTGGTTTAACCCTGAAGTTAATAAATATACTTACTAATAAATAAGTGGTAAATATATATACATATATTGATACTTGATAAATAAAAAGAGTAATAAATTAAATTGCAAAATAAGTTTGAGAATTTTTCAATAAATTAGAAACAGATATCAACATAAGATAAAAGAATTTTAAAATTATTGAATGATTTAAAAAGGTTCAAATTGAGAATTCTCTGCATTTACCGAAATCAGTTTACATAAATATTTTTGGAAATTCTAAAAAAAAAGTTTTTATCACTTTCTCATCTAAGATTATGTTTATTCATGAATCAATTTTATTTCATTCTTCAAATTAGGTAAAACTAAACAATAAACTAATTCTTAATAAATCTGATCTTACTTACCTTGATTAGTAAATACAAGAAGAAAAAAAAATTTCTAAATAATTATTTAAATTTTATATTGAATTTTTTTCTATTTAGAGAACATAATTAGTTATCCAGTAAATAATTATCAAAACTAAATCACATAAGGCTACAAAAATGTAGATAAAAAAACAGCATCACATGAAATATATGAATAAAATAGACCCTTTAGAGTAAAATGTACAGTTTTAAATTCTAAAAAATTTCAACAAATATAAAACTTTGTATTTAACTCATAACAAAAAATGCAAAAATACTACTGAGATCTTTAATACAAGGCTGTCCCTAAAATTAAATGACTACAATCTAGTAACTTCATCTCGATCTGCTTCTTCCTCTTCCTCATCCTGAGCAATATCAGGTAAGTCACTTTCTGATTTGTGACCTGATCTTCTGGACAGTGCTGGTGAATGAGCTCTAGAATCTTGGCTTGATGATTCTGAAAAGTCAGTGCTTTCTGATAAACCTGTACTGGATTGTGATTCCAAGCCATCCCAAGAACCTTTAGGAGTAAGAGATCCTGCACCTCCAGAAACAGTAGGCCACGGTCGTCTCATGGCACCAGCAGCTTTAGGTAATGTTGCAAACTGCTTGGGGATAATAACTGGAGAAGCATGTGCAGTACCTGCATGACTTTTGTAACCTCCCCTTCCAGAAATGCAACTAGAGGAAAATCCAAAGCAACTCACAGTATCATCAGCTTTACTTGTTCCAGCACCCATACTTGCAGCAGCAGCACTAACACGACTATGAAGACCATGTGTACTAGGTTGTAAAGCACTTTGAAATCTTGAGACTAAACAGGGGCTAGGTGGCACTCTTAAACCTCGATCTTTCCAATCTGGGAAAGAAAATAAAAATTTTTAAAATAGCAAAGGAGTTCCAATATGATATAAAAACTTTCTAACATCTTTAAGTGACTATTTTTGTAATAAATATAATAACCCAGCTTAACAATAATTTTGCAATAAAACTGAGCACTTAAGTTGAATTTCTTAGAAAATGTATTAAATCAATTCATTTTTTGAATATGGTATAGTTATTGTATTGATCGACAAATTTTATCTTATAGCAGGTAACACAAATAAAATTCAATAAACAGCTCTTGCTTTTAAAAATTTCTTACATTAAATATTTATTCAGCACATGGGAAAAAATAAAATTTGGATTAAATTACTGGTTAGCTGGAGAACTTAAGACCAAATATTTTTGAGCAGTCTATGACAATAACATATTTAGCTTGATGAACATGCCATTACATTCCTTTACAAGAAGGAAATGTCCAACAGACATATTTTACTTCCTAAAAACTTGTTTAATCTTTATAGGCAAAAGGAGTTTCAACCCGGTGTTACAATACAGCTAAATTAAGATGCACAGAAAGCGTGAAGGCAACATTTAAAAAATTAGAAGTGTATAAGCAATACCAACTTTCGTTGTAAATTTATGTTAACGTAAAAAATATGTTATGTTTGTGGAAAATTATTAAGTTTTGACTTTAGGCTTCTGTTAATAAATAGAAGTTTTAAAAAAAAATACAATAAAATTAAAAACATACATACAGTGAGCGCTTATAAGCTCAATATTGTAATAGAGAATTACTATATAGTAAATGAGCTCATATTTAGTTTTGAACCTTTATTTTGAAATAGCAATCAATACCAAAAATGTAATGATAGCAAAGAATAATGAAACGAAGGAATGATTAATATACATTACTGGTATATAACAATAAATTAAGAAATACTAAATATTTAATAGGTATAAAAACTCTTTTATAACTTTAATAATGCCATGCTGATGAATAGCAAAATCATGATCTTAGTTAATTAAGGAATAATACAATGTGATTTTCTGACCAATGAGAGAGCGCAAACAGTTATGAGAAAATATTTTAGACCACTGCGCTTTTATGTTATGTAAAGATGCATAAAAATGTATTGAAAATAAACAATAAAGGTTTTAAATAATATACTATAACCTAGCAGCCATATCTGATAAATACATACATACAAATGCAACAATTCTATGTTTTAATTTGAAATAATCCACCCAAGGAGACTAACATTTCCCAAAAAGAGAGAATAAAATTTTTGAACAAGAAAAGGACAATTACTAAATTTATTTAACACTAGATAAAAAAAAATTACTAAGGCTAAATGCATCATTTTAACCTATTGAAAGCACTTTTGATTTTAATAAATTCTTTACTAATAGCAAATTTTTATATTTTAGTAATTGGCAGGAGTAAACATATGTTATTTACTGGCAAAAGCACAATTTTTGTACAAATAACAATAAAATTTAATATGTTTTATTAACAATAGCACATTATTTATATTTTCTATGAGTTTCTCCCTCAGGCTTTTATTAAATACCGATAAAATTAAATTTAACTTAATAACACTCCAATATTTTTTTCTATTGAAAAAACTACGAAATTTTTTATTAAAACATAAGTTGGTTAATTGCTTGCTGTCTTAAAAAATATGTAAGAAAAAGAACAAATATCATAATTCATGTATACTGATCTACTTACTCTGTATTAATTGTCTTTCTTTTTCACAGAGTTGCTCGAGTTCATACTTTTTTTCTTGAAGAACTCTCTGTAAAAATAATGTTGATCTACCTGAAATTTTACTTTAAATAAAAGTAACTTTTTATGAATATATTTACTGTACTATAGCTCAAAATACATCTGAATTTCAATTAACACAGTGCATATTAAAAGCAATAATAACTTTATACTTCAAATACAAAATTAAATTATTAATATTTTTATAGTATCTTTTCTTTCCTGATGATGAAGAGTAATTTAAGATTGATGAGTGATGAAAATGATTGTTTGGGATTCATGAACAACTAAAAATATTATAATATAAACAAAAAATAAAAACAGAGTTTTTAAACTCCATTTTATCAAAAACTTGAAAATGTCTACTACTTTTATCTTTCTAAAACCCCTCAAAAATAATTTCACTGTTTTTAATTATCTATTTTCCCATTTATTACTTTTTTTAGAAAATTTATTTTCTATTTTAATAAATATAATTTGAATCAATCAATCTTATCAATCAATGAAAGACTTCAGTTTCTTTGACATTTGATTACTGGCAGAAAATACAACAATTATCATTTATTTAACAATTGTATAACAATTATCATTCATTGTTTAAATTATTTATTTATATTTTTTATAATTGAAAAAATTGACATCTTTACTGGAAGAGAAAAGTTTATTTTTAAAAAATAAAACAATTGCATTTAGTTAAGGTGCAACAGAACACCAATAACATTCACAAATTCATACCCTCTCTCATTATATGTGTGTGTTAATCTCTAAGCATCTAAATAGTTTTCCATAAAATAATTACAATTATTTTTGTCACAGTCTTTTTATCCTTAACTGCCCTAAACATTTAACAACAAAATATACAAAATATTATAGTAAGAAGGTTATATATAATTATAACAAAATTCATGATTTCTTCTTTCTTACAATTGAGTAAAATATGAAGAATGTTAGTATTTTTCTACAACTATTACTATTAATATCTAGCATTGGTAAGCAGTCAGAAAAACAGAGGATAGGAAAAACTGTGCCCCTAAAACAGTGTTTCCCAAAGTGTGCTACGTGTACCCCCAGGGGTACTGGAACAGTTGAGCTGGGATACGCCCTCTTATGCGAAATATCTTGCAACAAACGAAAATTTCAAAAAATATTATTTAAAAACAAAGCTAGCCATGAGAATTTACTATTACGTATTTTTCTATTGGCTATTTTTTGCAGAGTTAACAGTTAATAATCAGTGGTGTCAACAGCCAGTTGTGATTTTGAACTTTCGTGCAATTTTTTTATATTAAAAATAAACTTATTTTTAAAAAAATACATTCATTTTTTTATTAGTGGTACACAGCAGTACGAAAAATTTAGAATGGGTACACAAAAGTCATAAGTTTGGGAAACACTGCCCTAAAAGAGTTGAAACTTACCTTCAATCGTAAATATTTCATATGAAGCTCAACTTTGTGAACACAATTTTCAAATAAAACCACCATTCGCATAGTTTTTTCACAGCTCTGTATGTACTGCACTAAGGTTTTATGGTCCACTTTTTCCATATCTTGACCATTGATGGATAATATTACATCACCTGAATTGATAAAAGTAAACAATGCTTAAAATACATCATTCTATTCACTCAAAATAAAATAGAAAAATCCAATTAACATAAAGAAACAGATAGCTATTTAGGGGGAACTAACAGAGCTGCAGTGTTCTAAAAATGATTTTTCTATTTAAAAAAAGGAAGACAGAAATGTACAGTTTGTTGCATTCTATTTAAACAAGAAACTTATATTCAGAAAGTTTGAAAATTAGCTACAAATTTTGAAACAAAGATCACCGCTGTCTGATAAAAACAATGAATAATGCTTTCAAAATAAAAATTTGAGGCAGCAACAACCTGATGCCGCCTGGGAAAAAAAATGCTCATTCAAATATTTCTGTTGAAATGGTTGGACAAACAGTAGTTTTTCTCTTAAAACATAATTATTAATGATAGTCTAAAATAGTTCGCACAGATTAATTCTTATTCTGTAAAAGAGGATGTAAGCAAACACCAACTTTTATTAAATTGCAAATAAAAACAAGTTTCATTTGATCAAAAAACTGACACATTAAAAAAAAAAAAACTTTAAATGCCATTCTAAATACTTATGCTCAGAGTTTGCGAATACGCACATAGAGGCTCATTTCATGCATCAGATTTCAGCTTAACTCATCAGACTTCAGTAAATTAACTCATCAGACTTCAGTAAATTAACTCATCAGACTTCAATTCCTTGTAAACTTTTTGTTAAATTGTTAGTTTTGTTTTATTTAATGCTAATATTTTTTCATGCACTTCTGTAAACATTAAAGTGAGTATGAAGTAAGTGACTACACTCTTTTCATGTATCCTGAATTTTAAAAAAATTTATTGCTACTGCTCAAATACTGCCAATAGCTACTACTGCTTAGGGGGAAAAAAAAGATGTTTTACAATTGAAAATAGAATAAAATCTAAAAAGTGAGTTCTGCTTGGGGGTGAGCATTTGGATGATTTTTTGCAGATTGTCTCGTGAAGAACAACTCCCTTTTGTTAACCCCAATGACAGTGTCAATTATAAAATTTTTAAAAGTGAAAAAATGCATAAAAAATTTAATTCTCGCTTTTTTATTTAGAAGCCCGATTTAAATTACTTATATAATGCAGAAAGAAAAGCAAATATTGTGTAATATCTTTCAATAAATTTTAAATGAATTATTTTACAAAGTTTACTTTGCATAATTAAAAAGAAGTTAGTTAAAATATAATTTGCTATTAAATGGTGGCAATCTACAAACGTAACCTCTGTTTCAAAATCACCTTTTTAAATTTTACCTATCAAAAATTTAATAGAGGAGGGAAATTATTCTCTAAAAATGTATTATTTTATATTTTTTTCTGGTGGATGAAATCTGTTGCCATGTTTTGTCTGATAACTGGCCACGATTGCCTGAACATCTATGTCGCATCAACATGGTTCATGATCCCTTTTGACCTCCACGAGGTAATGGACTTGTCTCACCTGTCTAGGTGCCCTGCTCTTTCTCGGAAATCTATCTGGGAACGCTACTGGACTGCTCGCTCTTGTTTATAGATTTATTGTTATCTTTTTGACGTTCAATTGTCTTTTAATGTGCCATTGGAAATTTTAAAAAAATAATAATAATTTTTTTAGATAACACTGTGTTTTTTTTTATTTGAAATGACTATTCCTTCACTTCCAATCAAAAGTTAAAAAAAATTAAAGTACACTAATGTTTACAAACACCATTTTTTCTGAGAAATAATTTTACATAAAAACAAATAATAAAAACAAAATACATTTAAGACAAGTTTTAATTATTCACATATTGCAAAAAAAAATTCCTTTGGTTGGACAACAGAATATTTTAGACACAACATTTGCATAAGAAATACTTGGTTGCAAAAAGGTAAATTAATTACTTTAAGAATTATGTCTTACCTGGTCTCATCCCAGCACGAAAAGCAGGACCATCATATTCCACATAATCTACGTAGGTTATTAATTCTATCTCACCATCTCTTTTATGATGAATCCCATATGTCTAAAATGAAAATTAACTATTATTTATAAGGAACACAATTGTTGAATTAGCATTTTAATTAGATTCTACAGAAAATTATTTATAAGAAAAGTTTAGGTATAATTATATAATAATTTTTATTTGTGATAAAGTAAAAAAATATTTTGAATTTTGCTAGTCGTGCCAGCAAGATTTGTGCAGCAAAATTGCGATTACAGTAAATTCCTATTTATTCAAGGAATTGACACCGACATGACAATTGAGGACAAGCGAATTTCAAGACTTATTCAAAATCAAATGCTGTTTAGATATGAGATACAGAATTTTATGTCTGATGACTTGATCATTAATAAAAATTGAGATGTTCATTGCATTCTAAATAATAGGTTTTTATACAGTGAACTTATCCTTTTTAAACATACAACATATATAAAGTAATTTTAGAGAACTAAAATTTATGTTGGTGAATACAACATAATACAATCCTTTAAAACAAAACTGATAAAAGTGTAATTTTAACTGGAAAAAGATTTATATTACTTGTAAAGTGAAGCCAAATGATCCATTTCTTCGTTCAACAATGATTGTGCGACGTCGCCTGTCTTCATCTGGTTGGGTAACTATTACTCTGTCATTCTTGACAGTTTCCAAAATTTGGTGCTGTTTAAAAATATTTGAAGAAAAAAAACTACATTAATAATTCATATTTTTTTTTTAAATACAATTATCAAGAATATTTTTTAAATGAATACATCAGTAAACATTAGCCTTTAAAATAATAATGTATGAAATTATTTTGAAAGTATAAAACATCTTGACAAAAAATTAATAAACCCACTTTTTTTTTCCTTAATTAAGAATTATTCTTCATTAAATAATCTAAATAAATTTCTTTCCTTCTAAAACAATATAAATAACAAATTAAAAACAAAAGAAAAAAGAACAATACATTATAATATCAGTGGTTTGAAAACTAAATGAAAAAAATTCAGTATAAATCAAATGTTTAAAAAAAAAATGGCATTTAGAATTCCTTTGTAGCATATCTATAGGGTCAGGTGAGGGAAAGTGGTTATAAATTTAAGCATTTTTTATACAATGGATTCATACATATTAAATATGAGGCATAAATTCTTGATTTTGTTTAATTGCCTTATTAAAGTACTGCATTCAAAAGAACAAGCTTTAATATTTCTTCTTCAACCCAGAGTGGGATAAAGTGGGTATAATTCTATAATTTGTTGTTGTTGTTGTTTCTAATGCCACTTGCCACACGGGCAAGCCTGCTTGGTGAAATATATTTCATTTAAAAACATATGCAAACATTGTTTTAGAAATAAAAATGCACTTAAATAAATGTATCAAGATTATATTTAAAAAAAAAAAAACATAAACTAAAAAATTTTTTTCTTTGTAAAAAAATTAAAGAGTTAATGCTTATGGCTATCAAAATTAATTTTCACTACGGATACAGTATATTTTGCTGAACTCAACACTCATGAACAACATAAACTCATCAAAAAGAAAGAAAACAGTTATAGCTTTTGGTTTAATTTAAAAATAAACGATAGTGTTAAAATTAATATCTATAGAAGTATAATTTAAAGTTTTTTTACCATTTATAAAAAATGTGTATTTTTACTGGAATTTGTTACTTTAAGGAAATTGTTTTGTTTTTCATGAAAAGCTGTCACATGAATGCAGAGACTTGCATGATAACTCATCTATATCTCAAAAAATATGTTCATTAAGTTGTACCATTATGCTATTTTGGTAATTTTTGGATTGCATAATATGTCTGTTATATTGTGTTTTCCCTTATCATTCTTTTCTTCAAGAGATAATATAAAAGAAGTTTTATTTTCAGCTTTATAATTACTATAAAGAACTATAATCAAACAAAAAAAATTATATTTTAGCTATTTCATTATGAAATATAGAGCCTTAGATACTTACTAAAAACATAAAAGTTAAAAAAAATATTCCTATAATACAACACTTAGCTAAGCTTAACCATATACCCACTTTATCCCACCTCAGAAAAATATTCGTAATAAATAAAATTTTGAAATTTATACTTAAATTTCTATGTAAATCTGCTCGTTAGATATCCCTCTATCAGTTTGAATTAAAATTAATAGTTTTTAATGATATTAGAAGAAAGTTCATCAACAGCTTAAACTAACATACTTTATAAATTGATCAAATAGTGTGTAAACATTAAATTTTTTTATTGGTCTCTAAAACTAAAATAAAAATGCTTGCCGCAATCCCAGTAAATGTCTCTAAAAAATATTTAATAAATGATCTGAACTTAAAAGGAGAAAATAGATGTTTTTTAACATATAATCACTTTATCCCATGTACCCTGGGCCAGATTACCCATTAGGCCAGACTAAGCCATAGCCTGGGGCCCCCAATAATTAGGGGTCCCCTTAAAATGGATTTTTTGAAAATAAATTAAGAAAAACAATGATTTTTCAAATTTTTTCAAAATGTTTTGATTATTTTTTAGTTCTAATTTAATAAAATAAAGTAAAATTTAATTTATTATTATTTATTTTAATTTTAAATATGCTTTCTTAAATGAAAAGATATATAAATACTTCTATATTTGAATAAATAAGAAATATACGAGAAAAAAATTTAATCTAAGGCCCCCAAAAATTTGAATGGCCTAAGGCCCCGCGTACACTTAATCTGTCCCTGCATGTACCCACTTTCTCCCACCTGACAATATCTGAAATAATTAAAACTAAGAATATAAAAATCTGCATTAAATTTATATTGAAAAAAAAAACCCTCCAAACAGAAAAAGTTTAAAATGCTAATTTTAAAGTTGTTTTTTCATAATCTGGTGCCAGGTTAAACCATCATGTAACCCTGAACTCAATTCTATTTACTCTCCAGTCCAACAAACTGTTTAATTATAAGTGTGAAACAAACTGGTTAAATACTGGCATAACTGGTAGGAAAGAATGCACAGTATGAAAGTTTTTATTAAAATTTGGCCTAAGAACTTGACAGTTGAAACAAAACATAAAAAGTAAATCAAATAAAAATAGTATAGATTTAAATAAATATATTAATCCTGTTACTATAAACTGTATTTTTACATGAGATAAAATTTTAAGAAAATAAAATAAAAAAGTTCAAAAAACTTTTTTTACATAAGAAAAATTAACATCAAGTTTTTATCAAAGGTAAAGAATAATAATTTTTCTCCATACATTAAGATAGGCATAGCAAACTTGCCACTTGAATAAAAAAATACAATTTGGTTAGTTTAATCAAAATTAGATAGTACTACTAAGAGAAAAGAAAAAGCAAATGGCAATTTTGCAAAGCATATATACAACCTAGCAAAATTATTAATACATACATTGAAAAATACTGACAATATTAAAAAAGTTTCTTTTCCCTTAAAAAATAAATAAATAGCTGTGTTTGATAAGAAAGAAAAATTTAAAACAAGCACTCAAATAGCATATAATTTGTCACAAAATACAATAAAAAAATATTTAAAAATTCTATTATATACAAGTACTTTTTAAAAAATTTTTTTTTACTTAAATACATTTCTATTTGAGAGCTTTTTGAAGAAATTGATGCACAATGGGATAAATATGAAGTCAAAATGATAGAACATTGGAATAAAGCAAGACAGTAATTATGTCAACAAAATATTTAACAACTAAAATCACTCTATAATAAACTTATATCAGTTATTGTTACTTTCATTTATTCCTCCAAAATTACAAAAACATAAAAATGTTTATTGATCTATAAAATGTTATAAATGAAAAAAAAAGGGTTAACATTTAACAATTCAAAAAGGAGACATTAAATAAATAATACAACCCATATAATTCATAATTTTAGATACAAAATACTTTTTTAACATCCAAAATATTTTAAACCCCTTTTTCACAAAAAATAATAAAGTAAACTTGCTATTTTTATCACGTACAATATTAGGATATGAAAAAATTTCATAAATTGACTAATTAAAAAAATAAATATATAAAACTATAACGTAAACATATGCGTAGTTTTAAGTGAAAATAATCAAGTGTTAAAGCATAAATAACCCAAACATTATAAAGCTGATAAGACTGGCGAAATTGTGAATTTCTTTTTAGTAATATCGATTAAAGGATAAACAACAATTCGAAATATGTAATTATTTCAAGCTTTGACAAACTAAAATCTGATGTAAAATATGTAAACAAGGAACACAATATAAACATTTCGCACTTACATCAGGGTCATCGTCATCCGAAAGATCCCAAAAACCATCGTTTCCAAATAAGTCTGCGTGACCGATGTAAAACATAGTCATGTTTGCATTAAAAAATAAATACACCTTCCTCTATCAATTACACATTTATCAATACAAACTACTTTGAGAAAGAAGATATTGAAACAATAGTCGAGATTTTTATCGCGAGTGGAAAAAAAAAAATTTATTTCCCTAACACGGAGAACTTGTTAGAGCGGGCTAGATAACGTACGTGTGACAGACAACTATGAAGAATTCTGAGGTAAGCCGCACAAATCTTAAAAATCGTACACAACCTTGATTTTATTCACCCTTAATTTGAAGTTAGGAGGTTATATTAATAATATGTATAAATAAGTATTTTGTAATGTAATTTGTATAAATAAGTAGTAATTCGAAAGTTTCAATCATAATCTTTCTTGGAAATTATGTCATTTCATCATTGTTACTAAATTTAAATTTAACTGAGTAATAAACGCGGAATTATTTACGAACGAGATTTGAAACTGCACTTCATCTCATTAGGTAGGTTAAAGCCTCCAAAATACTGCTAACAAATGAATAATATTGAGACGATTTTCTTAATTTAGTATCGAAAAAAGAAAAAAAAAACATATCAGTCCAAAGTAAAAGATTAGTCTTTAATAAATGATTTTAGAAACATTTCGAATTACGCATTTGAAATAAGGGAATATCAGGTACCTAAAATAACAATTATTTCATTGAAGTTAGTGAAAAATAACGTCACAGTGCTAAAAATATATTTTAATATTAAATGAATAAAAATATGATAGCATGAGTAAGTAGTTTAAAGTAAATAATACCTGGTAAATTGCCAAAGAAAACGATTTCTTTTATTTAAGTAACTGTACAGCAACGCCGAGAATGACGACGCAAAATCATAAATATTTTGAATAACTAGTAAATAAATCACGTTTCACATTTCTGAATAAAAATAAATAAATTGAGAATGTTTATTATTACTAACTTAGAGTAAACAGAAGTTAATGGCTGTATTAGTTTATTAAAACTGCACTTACTTTCATTTTAATGTTTTCATTTATAATTTTACTGAGATTTAATTCGATTTTTGTATGATCATTAGAAACGAAAGTTCGAATTTCTTCTAAAAAACATCATTTGATATAACATATGTAACAAATATTTTAAAAATTTCAGCTAAAAAAAGTATTTAATTTTACCCCCAACCATCTAAGTGAAAGAAAAAAACGCGATTTTTCTGAAAGAAAAATAGCAAATTTTTAGTCATAAAATAACAAAACTCGACTCGGCAAAATCCATTATTTAAGGGGGGAAATTGGATTTTTACGATTTAAATAAAAAAAAAATTATTTATCAGTCAAATTATCTGATAAAAAATATTAACAGTACTTAATATTATTTAATAATAATATTATAGCTAAAATGTATTTAACTATAATGTTTCAGAAATTATTTAATAACTACAAACTATTCACTGAATAAATAAAATCACGGTTTTCGATCAAGCTAATCCTAAAATTTTAAAGACAAGAGAGGCAATTTGTCGCATAGATAACCGATGAAGAGTAGATTATCAGTATCAGAATATGTATATTACAGAGAAAAAAAACATTGCAAGTAAAAGTATTATAAAAGTAAGTATTTTAAAAATAATATTGTTACTGTGCTTAAATTATCTTTATGAATGATCGGGTGATCATAAGAAACGAAAGCTCGAACTTTTACCATTTGGTAAAACGTATGTAACAAATATTTTAAAAGTTTCAGCTAAAAGAAGAAATTAATTTTGCCCCCGAGAATCTAAGTGAAAGAAAATAATAAAAAGAAAAGCAATTTTTCTGAAAGAAAAATATTCGAATTCTACAATATTCGAACGAGCTAATATTTAAAAAAAGAAAACTGGACTCAGCTTATAGCAGGGTTGCAAAATTCATTATTAAAAAAAAAAAAAAAATCGAATTCATTTAGATATGAAATGAATTGAATTTTTACAATCGAAATCAAATTTTTATTATTTTTTTACATTTATCAACCAAATTATCAGATAAAATATTCTATCAGTACTTGACATTATTTAAAACAATATTATAGCTAAAATAGTAGATATTTCTAGTAGAATACTACAAACTAATCACTGAATATATAAAATCACGGTTATTTTTGTTCAAGTTAATCCTAAAATGGATATGGAGGCAATTTGTCGGTTAGATATCCTATGAAGAGCAAATTTAGTTTAAATCAGAGTATTAAGATCAGAATATGTATATTAAAGAAAGAAAGAAATTATAAGTTTCTCTGGGCAGAACAAGTCTTTCTTCAATATTGGGAAATACTAACTATGCATTTAATAAGTTTTAAAAGCCCTTGAAACTTTTACATAAACATAAAACAAAATGAGTATAATTGGAATATGTTTATTACCAGCAAATAATTTTACATAAGCTAATAGAAAATAATAATTTCAGTTCAACGCGATTTTCACCCACTTAAGTCTCTAATTATATTCAATTATTACTCGATTTAGAAATAACAATTTTTACCCTTTTATCATTTCTTTGAATAAAACTATGATTATCAATGAAATCAGACTTTAAATAGAATCACACACACCTTTAAAAATATATTTACAAAAATATTTTCGATTTAATGATTTTTTTATTTTTTTTAAATCGATTGGTTAAAATCAAAAATATTCTTTAAAAAAAATCACAGTTGATTTTAAATTGATAGTCAATCAATTTGATTTTTTATAAAAAAAATTCAAGAGAATGAAATCGTGATTTTAATCATGATTTAAATCAAGTTAACTTAAATCACGCAAACCCTCGTGTATAAATATTGCTTTTAAGTCTAAATATTGTTAATGGAATGTGTTCGTTTTTGTTAAATGAACGTATCAAAGGACAAAAGGAGATTTTTCTAACCAAACCCGAAAAAATAAATTTTTTAAGGAAGGAGAAAATTTATGTTCACCTGTTGCTAAATGTTTTAAGCAAATAATATAAATAGCTATTTTTTAAAACTAGATAGAAATAAAATGACTAATTGACAAAGAAAATAATAACAGATTTAGAATAATAATTTCTTTATTTCATTTTTAATCATTAATACAAACATTGAACTTGTTTACTATAGCAAGCATAATAATTGGAGTAAGCTTAATATTTATTAAATTTTAAAATAAAAAATATTACAGGAAAAAAGTGTTAAGGTTATGAATGAGTAACACTGTTGAAAGAGGGTACAGTTCCATAATATCGAGGACTACTTGAAATAGGAATCGCTTCTATTTTATATCTTTGGGCCGGTATACAATTTTTGATTATGGTTGATACCTTCCTGCTGTATCCAATATATACAATTTTAATTATCTTTAAGTCATTTCACAAATTAGAAGTTAGTATTCAAACATCTACACCAGACTTAAGATAAAAACTGCAAAAATGTGATATCGATTTGAGAAAAAAAATATTGCTATCGAGGTGATGGTATCTTGATGTGAGTTATTTTTTTTTTTTTATAACAGTGTGTGAGTCAATATACTTCTGAATTGATTATTCTATTTTTCTCACTGTATCAAATTCATTCTCCTCATGAGATAATAATTTTCATCTTTTACTAGAAAAACAACTAGAATTAAAAAACATAAAGGGTTTAAACATTTTGGCATTGCTACTTCTGATATGATTGCATAAATTTCTAATAATTAAAACTTAGACTAATCTTAGGTGTTGATATGGAGCTAATGCACCATTTAGAGCATTAAACTAAACAAAATTTTTACACAGATGGGTAATCTTCTACAAATAGGCTATTTTAAGGTAGTAACAACAAGAAAAAGAACAAAATAATTGTGGCAGATATTTCGAATTCTTAATATGGAAGAAGGCATTAGATAAGAAAAACATAGCAGTCGGTCACACTTAATATTTAAAAACAAAAAAAAATTAATATAAGTTTTTATCAAAGAGAGAGAATGATAAAATATCATTATTTGCTTTTCAAGTTTATTCCCATAAATGAAATAACATTATATATTTTTTAACTATCACATTAGAGGAAATTAAAACTCATAATTTATACATTATTAATTAACATAGTACATTTTTAAAAATAAACTAACTTAATAAATATGGAATAATTCTTGACAAATAGAATTTGTAAAAATGCTACTTTTTAAAATTTAATTTCATAAAATCTGTTCGACCAATTTTGCTCAAATTTTGTAAAATTACTTTCTTTAAAATAATGTAAAAAATTAGGTACCTGACAATTCAAAATTTTTTAGACTATCATTAAATAAAATAATTAATATTTGCTAAAAGTTATTTTTTGTATGAAACTATCTTTAGCTAAATAAATTTTATAATCGTCTGCAGAAATGTTTATTTCACTTAACAAGTTCTAAAGATGTGGCAAAATATGCAAAAAATAAAATTAACATTTAAGGGTCCAAACTTTGGATTGCTCTCCTGGTCAAAGCACTATATTTTCCAGATATTTTGTGGGTCAAGAAGTCTAATCTGTCAAAAAATGGTAAATTTATTCAGAGAAAGTATGTTTTTGAGCCTGATTTCATTACTTAAAATATAGTCTGAACTAACTTATTACCATTTCTGAGGTAACACATTTGAAGCATTAAGATGAGTTATTCGTGATAACAAAAGTTATTCGCGATAATCCGTTTATTAATTTATTTATGCACACAGATAGAACATACCTTTAAAAAAATTGATTTTGCTGGAAAGATTAATAAAAAATTCTCGCATCTTTTGATCTATTCGTTTTACAAAAAAATTTTCAATTATATAAGATGAAGTTAAAAACTTTATCTTTCAAAAAGTATCTTTAAAATGAGACAGACATTATGTTGCTGCAACTAACTTCTTGGGTTTTATAGTAAAAAATGCGCAATTTTTGAAGAAAAAAAATCACGCTTTTTAACTAAAAAAAAGAAATAAAAACTTTTGACAAATTAGTTATTTTCAATATTAATAATTTTAACTTTTTTCAATAATAGATTTTAATAGTGCATTAAATCCATGCTAATCCAAATCAATTGGACCTGTTTCCTGTTTGGATTATCCAAAATTATGAAAGTAATTGATGTCATGTAATTTTAGTCAAAGAAATCAGTCAATCATAACATAATCAAAGGTAAAGTTGTGTATTTAATTTGTGTCACATTGCAATACAACAGGATTTTGGCCATATTTTTTTATATGGCAAAAAACAAAAAGAAAAGTATGCATTCTCACAGGACGACAATACATCGCTTTAAAGATGGAACAAATTCTGTTTTTAGCTGATCACTTCCAGGTGCTGTAATTGCTAATTTTATTCATGCAATAAACAAATTACCAACACATACTAAAGTCATAGCTTTCATGATGCTTTATCGTGATTCTTATTCACGTTCACGTAAATTTTGAACCTCACATTTGAATAATAATTTTGATATTGCACCAGGGCACAAATTTGTGTTATTTTGCTATTTAAACTATATCATGTTTTAAATGATTTCTGAATTGTAGACTAAAATGGCTCTAGTATTAGAAAAGACATAATATTTATTTATAAACAAA